AGAGAGCTACCTGGATATAACATCGAAATTCTAAAATCAGCTTCGAAACTGATAGCGAATATAGTATAGAGATTGGTTAAAATAAAACCTGAATCTGAGTTTTTTGTAGTCGACATTTGGCACTGTGTTCTTATTGTTAGATTATCGATCGATGTTTATTCGATAACTATCTTTATTTTTTATCAATGTTGTCAGTTTTCCCGTATGACCAATTTGTAAGTATATAGAAAATTTTCGACATTGACAGCCTCTAAAATGTAACAACGAGCTCAAATGGGGCAATATACTTTATCATCTTGAAAAGAAGTTACATTTTTTTACATAGTAATATGTATAATTCGAGTGCGATAATATTCGATAAATAAATTAATTTTACCAGGCCGGCGACGATAATAATTCGGCGATTCAGTACGACTCTAACGGAATCCACATTTTTTAATATTATGTATACTAATTTTTTTTAAAGAAAATTACATCAATTTTCTTCGACAATGAAATCGATGCAATATGTCACATTTAGTTAGTATTACTTGTTTATGTAACAGATTCGTTTATATAAAAGATATTTGTGTGAAAAAGCATACAAATACTTATTATAATATATTATAAAATAATATACTACAAAAGACTAGCACAATCAATAACTAGTAATGCGTTTTAACAAATGTTATAATTACACTTTACAGTAGATATACAATAAGATACAAAAGTCTGGAACACTATAACTTTTTTATTTTCAAAGTATAATACTACTAAATGTAGAATTTTCGTACTAAAATATTCTGCTTAGTAAGTTATGCTCAATAAATAAAAAATCAAGTTTTATCTAACCTGATTTACTGTACAAATTTGATTTCATACTACTTTATTTTTGAACCCTACTTATTAACATAATTATAATAATAAATTAATATCTTCGTGACATGCTGTAACAATTCGTTAAGTGGTTCAACTGTCATTTTCATGAAAATATTTAAAATATCTTCGACAATCATTTTTACATACGGTAGTCAAAATTTTAGAAATAGCAATTAAAAATAAAATTAACAAGAAAATGTAGTTTCGTCGCGTTATAAATATTACATTTCGATGCGGCATTCCAAATTTCGATCTGTGTAATATTATAGAAAACATTGCGACGAGAAAGTTAGTGCCGCGAGTTTTTCATTTCTTTTACAATAAGGAAAATGTGATTTATATACATTTGGCTATTCTGCCAATAATATATTTACATTTCAAAGAAGTCGAAATATAGTAATGCTTAAATATGGGGTACGACAGAATCCTTGGTTGAATTAAGCCTCTATGATATAATTTACCAGTGATAACGGTATTACATCGAGATCCTCAACGCAAGTAATAATGGTATCGGTAGCGTAATATTGCGAGTTACACCGCGGTGTAATGGATAAAAGGCTCGGTTACCCTCCCTGTGGGCGGCAGGGCTCGGCTTGAATCCCAGCCGCCCCCGTTCCCTATGCACCGCCGGCGCAGTACATGTATATGTATACAGTTATGCACCATTGTTCTCTAGAGACTCGGAACTCGCTTAGAAACGCGGTTAAACGATTCTAAAACTGCAAAATGCAATAGCACTCATTGTTCCCCGCTCCAATCGTTTTGGATTACGCAATCTGACTAGCCGACTCTATGTACTCTTTGCGGAAATCTCCCAGTGCGCCCCAGGCAGTTTTTCCGATTTTTCAGCCGCGGTAAATCGCGGTTACATCGCCCGCATTGCTAACGACTCGGAGGTTCGTGACAAAAGCGTCAACGCGTTTCGTAATAGGGTTGTGAGTGATGAGTGTAAAGAAAATCGTTAACAAAAGAACAATATGCTGTTGCTAGCGCGAACTAATTGTGATATATTTTTGAAAAAGAGAACGGTCAATTGCAAAACAGCACAATAAGCTTGCAAAGCATTCCGGCATAGTGGAGAAAAGTTGTACTTCGGTAATTTGTGAATTATAATTCAGAATAATCGTCATAATAAATGTGTGATCTAACAGATTGCAATGCGATTGTCTGATATTGCTTCTCCGATATCGTTATAATAATATCGAAATTTCAGATGCAATTAATACTTGTAACGTATGTGTATAATATTCATCGATCGATAACATTTCTAATGCAATTGAAGTCTACATTTTCAATATCAGGTAGTGGAATTCAATTGAAAACACGGCGTACATCGAAAAGCCAATAATGACAGCAGACGTTTAGACTTTAAGGGTGCCGTTGGGTGGGGGTTATTGACCGTGCGGTTTTTCAAGTGGTTAAGTTCAATGAAGTGCGCGCTTATATAAGCGGCATAATCGTACCCGATATATCTGTAATGTATCTGCACTCCCACAAAAATCAATGTTGTTAATATCAATGTTGTTGGATTTTTAAATATTTGTGAGGGGGCAAATTTATTTATCTGTCACTATCCCAATTAATGTAATTTTTATATCACGTTTTTACAAAATGTCATATAAAAAATTATCATCAACGTTGATAAACTTAGCGATGTAAACATGGAAAAATGACAGAGCGACGAAATGCTACTTTAATACATTTTAATATGTTTTCTTTTAATATTTCTATAAAACAAGCTTTACTTTTCTAATTATAATATTATATGTATACGAGTATACTATAGTATTTATATGTAATAAAATACCTATATGTACTATATTTTATGTATAAAGGAGGAGGACTAATAATCCACGACTTTGACCCCCTCTGGATTTTATTCTAAATTATCAAAAGCAACTTTTAAATACATAAAACACTAAATTAAACTGTTTCCAGCCTAAACGGACATGTTCAACGTGGTCGTTATCTTGTTTAAACATAGAAATTCGTATTTGTGGACGTTTTGTGCAGTACTACACAACTTGCCTGAAAATGGTGGATATTATATTGGAAAATCATGAACATCACGATATAAAATTATTTTTGTACATAAAATTGATGCTGACCGTGAAACGTACGGGGTGCTTGATTCACGCGAGTCCCCTTGCCTCTCACAATTTAGGCTACACTTCCGATTATTAGAGCCTAATCCAATATACATAATCTTCTAAGGTAACAAAGTCACTTTTTCACCTCATAGATTCAGTACGATGAAAGGCGAGTTCATTTTTCACGGTTTTGCAGCTAGGTATGTGTGTGCTATCTGATCTATTTCACTGTCAGCATCAATTTTGCGTACAAAAATAATTTTACATTATGGCGTTCATGATTTTCCAATATAATATCCGCGATTTTTAGGCGAGTTGTTTGGTACTGCACAAAATACCCACAAATACGAATTTCTATGTTTAAACAAAATAACGACCAGGTTGAATATGTCCGTTTAGACTGAAAACAGCTTAATTTAGTGTTTTGTGTGTCAAGAAATTGTTTCTGATAATTTACAATAAAATCTAGAGGGGACCGAAATCGTGGCCTATCAGTCCTCCTCATTATATGTAAAATATACAGAGAAATATACGGGGTGATCCCTAAATAAGTACAAAAATAGTTCTTGGCTTATTTTATGAAGAAAACGTCCTATGAACGTATGTCCTAAAGTACTTGTTTTCAAAATACAGGGTGTCACATTTGAAAAAAATCTTGAAAATTTCGAAAATCTAAGAAAACGCTTAGAAATATTTTATTCAAATTTGGTGTGCGTGTTTGTAGCTTTAAGTGGCCAGTTCTTTCTAAAAGTCAATTGATGGATTATCACTGATTAACTTTCAGAGAGAACCAATGAAATATTTTTATATAAAAAAGGTGAAGTTATTTACACTTCTAATTTCAACTTTTTACTTTAACTCAAAAATGGCTAACCGCTCAAATAAAAAACAGTAAAATTTATAGTCTATGATTTCGGTTCTGCATTACGCAACTTCAATTACACGACTTTGTAATTATGATGAAACGTTCATTCGATCGCGTATCAACTCTTTTAAATATACGTGGCTTATTTGGAACTAAAAGTTTATAAATATGCCAATTGTGATATAATACCTGTACGCATCAAATTAGTTTCGGTGTCGCGTAACTTTCGTTGGTACAACTTCGACGAAAGAATAACAATATTTATTATCTATTGATATCCCTCATTAATATATCCTTCGTTGTAACTCAAGGTTTTATATACATATATCTTCCAAATTTTTTACTATTTTAAAATAATATTGGAAAAATAATAAGAAAAAGTTTTTGTAGAAAAGTCACATAAATTACATACATTTTTGCAGTTATATACATATAATTACTTGAAATTGTTGAAAACATTTTTTATACATTCCTTTGATTATTATAATTTGTATTATATAATACATCATATGTTTATTATAACGTAAAACAAAAATGTTTTGTCACAAGTTAATTGATGATGTTACCTAATTTTATTTATGATATTAAAATGTTGTAATCTTTATTCATATATTTTTACGTGAGAATACAATATATAATATAATAATTTAATTTATCTTTCTATCAGCTTCCTAAAAGCTTCTTTCTCGATTTATTGAACTTCATTTGTATTACATTAGAATATATATTTTATTGTGTCACTAGAAACTTAAAAAATTAAAAAATTGTTTATTACTTTATCTGAAATTACTCTTGTTTAACATCAATTACATCCCATAATGATTTTCGCTCATGCAACGATTCGTCTAATCAAATTACCTTAAAGAGAGTGCCTAGCAACTGAATCAAATATGAAAGAAGCTCGATGTAATCGAACTAGAATTTCCTTAGACTTCGGTGCCAATTCGAGCTCCTAATTTCGGTGGAGGTCAAAAATTTCGCTTACCGTTTTAGTGAAGATGTTACGCGGTGTGTCTGGTAATGTGTGGTTGGATTGTTGTGTCTCGCTCGATTTTTTTGACCTCCACTTTTGTTGCCGCTGGGCTTTTATCAAGATCACTGCCGAAACTGATTTGATGGCGGCGACGGCGAGGATGGCCACGGCGATGACGACGACGGCGACAACGAAAGCGCGACGATGGGGTGGCCGCCACGATACGCCTGTCTCGTGAATGCGCAATGCAGACCAGAAACGCCGCGCCACGACGCGTGAGGGAAGTTGGAGAACCGCCCTCCTCTCACCCTCACACGGACACCCTCGCATGTTAAGCGAGAGCGCTTGGTTGCATTCTAATATAATTTAAATTTTGAACAAATGGAATTATTTTTATAAATATATATAAATATGAGCAAATAAAATAAATTAAATTATTTTAATAAACATATAAATCTGTGCCAAAGTATGATACTCCTTCCTTTAATTATGGAACTAATGAAAAAATGTCGTTGTGATTAGTTGAGATGTTAAAAAGAAATGAGCAATGTAAAGGAATTTAGACACTGAAGTCAACGTTAATTTATTATTACACTGGTCA